TATTTTAGATAAATGTATACGTTATTAATATAAATATATATATATATATATCAATGTGTGCTGTATTGAACGGTTTAATTTGGCGGAAATATGTGGGATTAAGATATAAAATTGTGCGGTTTTGAACGACGCCCGCCGATTTTATTTGTTTGGTTACAAAATTATTGATGGAATTCCGGTCGACAACCGGAACTAAAATTAGATCGATTATTGCATTATTTAATGATCAGAAAATGTTGATAGTGAAAAAAAAGAGTATATAGAATTCACCGTAAATGCATACAATCGGTATAAATCGAATCAAATTGATATTATTATCATAGAAAATATTTTAATAAAATACTCATTTCGATATATTAATATAAATAAATATATATGATATTTTTATACATAAAAATCCAACTGAATCAAATTGGAATAAATAAGAATAAATAGGAGCTTAATTTTTAATTATTTATTTTATTTAATTTATACATGTTGTTTTACCATAACTGACAACGTCGCAAAATATTTTAGGCGGAGTCGTGTTAATTTTCGGTTAGATAGAAAAAATCTTTTTATTACGAAAATATACGGAATAGGGTAGATAAAAAAAAACAGATTTTGCGGAATCGTGTGTCATCGCCCGGTGCAACGGCACAATAGGCAGAGCTGGATCAAGAGAGGCTATAGCCTCGGGTTACAAGTTGAAAGGGGCCACAATGTATTTTATAATCGTTAGCTAACAAATATAAAGTATTTTTTTATCAATCAATTTTCACTAAACTACAATGCACTATACTTATTTTAATTAATATTTATTACAAATGACTATATCAAAATAAAAAATATGAAATTTTTTTGAGTGAAAATACCTCACCAAAAGTAATAACCACCCCTTACATTACGAACATAATCCGATCTTAATAGTAGGACTGAAAAGTGCATGTGAAGATCACAAATATTCGTTGGAAAACGGTAAATATTTAGTAAGGTGCCATGTAACAGATAAGCGATGTTTCGATGATGCGGATATGTGTGTCCTATCTACTCTTTCGTTGAACGAACCGAGAGAATGGTATCGCTAAGCCATTTGTTTTTTTCTTTCCTAAAATAACATACGACTTAGAATATATTTATACCTATATATGCGTATGTTGACACGTCAACATTTCTAACGCACGTAAATCGGAAAACGTTCACCGTCCCCTGTCGTAGGGAGTAACACACTTTTCGTGTTGCGCGGCAGAATGCATCCCATAATTGAAGCTGTTCTCTGTCTCGCCGTCGATAACTATTAACAATACACGGAAAAAAAATATCGAGTTGATGTCTTGGTCGGAAAAAGAAGGCTACCAACCCCACCGGTTAGTTTCCGGGTGTTTCCTCCGCAACAATGTGTCATTATAATTACGAGTATACCAACCGGTCGCCGTCACATATTTGATCGTATATGACATTCCATGTCTGGTCACAGGTCTTATTATTATAACTGATACGATTTAGTTCCCTGTACTATTCCTTCCATCCTCCTCCTTGTACCTCGTTTGGCGTGGATCCCTTCTTTCGAGTCTTACGCGTTGTCCATTGATATATAACGATGTGATCAAAATATTTATATAAAATGTTGCGGAATATATTCCCGTTTCCTTTTCCCTGTGGCGATCTTTAAATACGTCATTGCTCTCGATACGACCGAACAACCGTTTAACATTTGTGTGTAAACTCTATGTAGGTCCGATATCTGTACAGTATATACTACACTCTCAATGCTATGGATAAATGGCATTTTATGGTTTTGACGCTCTTGAAAAACTAAAAAACTATTACTTCCACTGACTATCACTGTACGTCACCATCAACGTTGGACAAGGCCGTACCTAGAAATAATTTTCGGGGGGGGGGGGGGGGGGGGTTTAAATATGTTTATTGTAATTTAGATGCAATTCATGATCCAGTTCCATAGGTAGAGTTATCAATATTTTCATATATTATTAATTTATATAAGAAATAAACTACACAAAATATATGTTGGATTTTTCAAATATTTCTATATTTAATTATCAATCTTCTTCGAATCCATTAGAAGTATAATGAAGTCTCCATTTTTAATGCATACTTAATTATTACCACTCTATTGTTCTTGAATTACATTTATTCGAGATTCTAAAAGTAAATTGAATGCATATAAATCGATAAGTGCAGTTTCTTACTTTTCAAATGTTATGTAGAATTTTACATTATCAACCCTTATCAGCTTCACTTCGGTTAGACCAATTGAAAAGTAGAAAAGTGAAAATCTTGATTTATCGTTTTTTATTTAAATTGCTTATACAATTAATTGACCGTTCACTTTATTAGAAGATTAAATTGTTGGACATCAGCTCATTAAACTAAGCTCAACAAATAAGACGAATAATTAATTTTATTTATTTTTCAAAAATCATTCGAGCAAAGTGTGGACAAGTACTATAAAATGCCTGTGTAAATATTCATATGGTTTGTGGGTGATTCAAATATTGATCCATTCCTTTGTCATTTGCGTTAAAAATATTTTTATATTATGTTACGTAACGAGCTTATATAATATTGATCGTTATATTTTTCATCTACTCGTATACAGTTATACACTTATATTTTCCAACTTGGGAAAATCTGAGCATATTGCTACTTGGCAATTAATCTTGTTCATTTGGATAAACACAAAATTATATTAAGTACATAATAAATATAAGTACTTGATGAATCACATACTGCGTGCATTTATGGTACATATTTAAAACTGGTCTAATCAACACTGTCGTTTACAGAAAACTTTATTGTTAGGCATATCCAATATTCTATTATTATACAACTACAGTAGGTCACAATGCATAATCAATTTATTCTGTGCCACGCATTTTGGTTCATCGCATTTTTCTGAAATTTTTAATTCATATGTGTTTTCGTGATGACTCTTATCTTAAAAGTATTAACATTTGAAATTCAAATTAAGTTTCCACACACGAATATCCAATTACGTTAAAACAATTTACTAGCATACTATAGTTTAGTTCACTTAGGCATCAAGCAATTATTTAGAGTTTATACATAGTGGTGGAACAAGTGGATAGGTTATTTAAGGAACCTTGTCGCTTTTTAAACGTCGTACAACTTACAGTACACTATATTACCAAATAAAATTTATATTTTTTTAAATCAGTAAAATTCAATATTAATCGTTTCAAAAATATTCAGAAAAGTATTCTTAAATAGACATTAATTTAGATTCAGATAAAACAAAATTCTGGTATAATATATTCTAGCTCTATAATAAATTTTATTAAGTAAACTAGAGTTTGATGTTTTTTACAGTTTCATTAAATAAGATATGCTTTTCCTTGTGATTAACACTGAAATATTAAAAATTATGCCATCAAAAAACATTTTATACACTATTGAAATACTAAGAACTGTTTTTTATTATGCAGAAGGAAACTGTTTCGCCTTCGTTTATTCTGATATGCTACACAGTTCTGTTTTTGGCAGAATATCAACTTTAAGTTTGAAAAGGGAGTGACAATTTTTTCCTCTTCCTCATCCTTCCGCTCGCAATCAAAACGTAGCAAGTCAATGTTAATGCATTTACCGGGTAACTCAAGAATATATCGTGTTTTACAGTATGACATGGTGTAGGTTTCTCATTCCGTACTCTGACAATGATAGTAGGGTGACACAGGAAGTGTCGACCAAGCGGTTTGGAATGAATTATATATGTATGTATATATATATATATATATATATATATATATATAAAACATTTTTATTTTATTCTTCCGTTAAAGCGTAAAAATACAAATTTCCGTTCCATTATGATATGTTTTGAAATAGCTTCTACTTTTTTTTTTTTTTTTTTATAAAACAAAATTATTTTTAATAGATGCAAATTCTGTTTCGGCTTTCTCTTTATGTTTGAATATAATGAATAAATAATTTATTATAGACTATCGACAGTGTAACTTTGTGTGTAAACTAGGTATATATTATAAACCACAATATACTGTTCGGATTACAAATTAACAGAATATATTGCTAGAAAAATTCCTTAGTTTGCGTTTCATCTGATTATTAATCGTACTAGCATAAAGCTTTGTTATCTCATCGTATTTAATTTTCAAATTCTTATTATCTGCTTCTCTTTTAATTAGGTAATTATTGGTACACAATTAAAAGAACATTTTAATATTAACTATAATATAACATTTATAAACTAGGAAAATAAAGATAT